GAATTCTGGTTGAATTTATAATTAAATGTTATGTGCCAATGTACTTCAATATCAAGTATTACAGCTCTGTCGTGTACGGCAGTGCATTATTTTTCAAGTTCATTGGTTGGTCACGATTTCTAGAACCTCGTTTACGCAAAATTGTCAATCAAGTAATTAAAGATAATTCATATTATGCGCATTCGGAAAATATCTTGTTATCAATGTTGTTTGATGATAGCAAAGAAAAGCGCGACTGTGCCATCAAGAAAATTCTACGCTATCGAACCGATGTTGAAGAGCCAATGGAACTTAGAGTTTATAAAAAACCAGATGTAAACTTTAATTGCACAAGTTATACGAAATTGATCAATTTGAATGATATAAATAATATAAATACTATAAATAACCCAAACGGCAACAACGCAAAATTTGCTTTATTTCACTTTTAAATGGGAAATAATACCAAAATCTGAGTCTTGCTTTATTTCCAACAAAGGTAGGAAATAAAACAAATGTTGCCTTATTTCCCATTTCTTATTTATACTATTTCTAACAAAAACAGTTTACTGACAGAAGAAAAAAGAACTTTGTTTATTCCAAAAATACAATTAAACAAGTATTTTTACTTATGAAAAGTCTAACAAAATATAGGGAAAGCGTCATCTTCAATAACTGCTTGGCAAATTGGCCAAAGCGCCTTTGAATGAATTTTGTCTGCATGCTTTTTAATATGTTGAAAATATTGCTGAAAAACCTTAAAATGTTTTCATGGAACCATGGCGCAATAAACAGGTGAAGTAATAATCTGACATTCGGCTGCCTTGTAGTCAAATTTTAAGGGCAATTTTTCATATAAGGCAGCATGATTCAATAATACAAGGTTGGATAAGTATTGACATTTGTGTCAATCGCCTGCCTTGTAAAGTTCTGAACACATTGAAAACGACGAGCTGCGGGCTACAGCTTCCAATTTGTTATCTTTATTATCTAAACGCTTTGTCGATGGCTACATGAATTTTATGAACGCGCCAGCGACATCATGAATTTGTATGAATTTGACATAAAAGAAGAGGAAGAACCTTATCTGTCGCTGGAAAAATAGAAATAGATCTAAGCTGGCCACAACCACAGTCGTCGCGTAGCTCCGTCGTCGCCAAAATAATTATCTACATAAGAATACGTGTTAAAATAATTTGACAGCTGTGGTCCGTAGCTCGTCGTTTTCATTGTGTTCGGGCTATTAGGTTGCATTTGAGAAGGAAAGAAAAAGCGGGTAACCATTGTATCCCCTTTTGTGAAAAGGTAGTAGGAAAAGTAGTCTGGTAGTGTTGAAATGTGTTTTTTGTATAAAAATTGAATCAAATATATAAAGCCGATTCCACTGATCTACACAATAGAAAATTAATTAACTTTTTTTAACATGCTATATAGATATTAAAAATCAAATAAATGATGAATGAGAGAATTCTGACCAAAGAAAAATCTTATAGACAAATATTCCCAAATATTCAAAATAAACCGCGGTTTCATTAAAATTCCAGTATATATTAAACAAAATTTATGGAACAAATCCTTTATTCAAAGGGACTATATCGCCCACCGTCTTCAAAAGAGTCTGAACTCAAAATTGGCATTATGCGATAAAAATGTACACAGAGCTTTTAATTACCTTTCAGCAAAAGCTGGAGCAAATTTTTGTTATAATTTGTTAAAAAAAAAACCTAAGGTAAAGTCGCCCTAGCCCATATGATTATCATGTGCTAAGAAATAGTTTTTCGCATATTCTGACAAACGTATNGCGCACAAAATATAATGTCTTCTTTTATTTTTGCAAAATGGAGTTAACCCCCACGCTAAAGTATACATATGACATCTTTTACTGAACATACTCCTTAGTGTGTAGACAGAGTGTATCTATTACGTGCAATCCTTATGACCTAGACAGACTCTGGCCCTTTCTTACATACTAGTTACATATACGTTTAAGAGCTGTTTACATTGTTGCTTACAGCTAACATGACTTAACGCTAACAATAAACATACTCGCTTAGGTACTATTTACATTTACCTATGTAGAAATGCTTACAACTCGGCCAGCCTGATAACTAGAATCTCCTGATTCTACGCTATACCTATCAATAATTATTACGTCCCAACATATTTCTTTTCGTCTTACATTCGGGCCAAGGCTTTAGGTTCGTAATGGATNTGCTTACAACTCGGCCAGCCTGATAACTAGAATCTCCTGATTCTACACTATACCTATCAATAATTATTACGTCCCAACATATTTCTTTTCGTCTTACATTCGAGCCAAGGCTTTAAGTTTGTAATGGACCATGTGCCCTTATACGGTACTTGGGTCTGCTGAAAACCTTCTACATCTTCAACTAGGTATCTATCATGTTCTAAGATTTTGGCTACCTTATATGGTCCTCTGAACTTTGGTATTAATTTACTTGAGGCCCCTACTTGAGAACTCGCATTTGTTATCACATCATAGTCTGCTAAGTTAAATTTACGCGCAAGTAGCCGTTTGCTATCCGTGTACTCTTTATTATACTTCTGTGCTTTTTGCTGTACTATTTCAGCTTGCTGTCTCACCTCTTGCACTGACCTAGCCTCAGACACCTGTAGTAAATCTAACACATTTTCTTTCAGTGTATCTAATATTTTCCCCCTTTGTCTCACCCCAAACAGCATTACGCTAGGATGTTCATTGACCGCTTTGTGTAGGGTATTGTTCATTGCATACTCTATGGACTCTAGAACTTTTTGCCAGCTAATGTCATTTCCCGAATCTACCATTTTTGCTAACATCGGGCCTAGGGTCTTATTAACAATCTCAGCTTGTCCGTTTGCTTGCGGGGAGTTTGTTGCAACTTTAATATGTTGAACATTATTGGTTTCTAAGAATTCCTCAAACTCATTAGAAGTGAAACAAGTTCCTCTATCTGACACCAAATATTTTGGCCTACTATAGGCTCTAAAATAATCTTCTAGCGACAGTACCGCTTCTTTTGACATCGTGGTCTTAGCTGGATACAGCCGAACGAACTTTGTACAAGCGTCTATTATTACTAGTATGTGTTTGTACTTTGTGTTGCTACTATGAATTGGTCCATAATGGTCGATATGTAACATTTCAAAAGGTTCGTTTCCTTTAGGAATCATATTAAGAAGCCCTTCTTTTTTCCCGTGTTTTGTGGAGAATGCTATACATTTTAAGCAGTTTTCGATATGCCTAGCTGCTTTTTTCCTAATATTGGGGAACCAGTAGCTTTTACTTATCGTGTCCACTACTTTCTCAACACCTATGTGGCCCAACTCATCGTGGTATTTATACAAAACATGTTCTTCCATCGACTCTGGTACGTAAAATAATAAATTACCATCCTTCTTTTTATACACGACTCCGTTTCTCATCTCATAATTGCTATCTTCTGTATCTTCCAATCTTTTCTTGATAGTTTTTAGGTTTTCGTCCCTATTCTGACATATAATTAAGTTTTCCTCGAGTGTATTTGTATGGATCGTTAGGACATTATTTATTCTGCTCAGCGCGTCGACGTGTTGCATCCTTTTACCTGCTCTATGTTCTAGTTCATAGTCATAATTTTGTAGCTCGAGGGCCCACTTCGCGATTCGTGGATTGATGTCTTTTTTATTGAGAGTTAGAGTTAAAGAGTTACAATCAGTAACAATCTTGGACTTTATACCCTGCAAATAAACTCTAAACCTCTTTAACGCATATATTATTGCCAACGTCTCCAACTCAAAACTATGATATCTTGATTCGACATCCGTCGTACGTTTAGAAAAATAGAAAATGGGGTGTAGTTTCGTATCCTTCTTCTTTTGGAACAATATTGCTCCGAATCCTACTGAACTGGCGTCACAATGCAACTCTGTAACATCGTTCGGGTCATATATCGCCAGCAGGGGTGCTTCCAACAATTTTCTTTTAAGTGAGTCGAAGGTTTCTACTTCCCTTTGACCAAACTGAAATTTTTCATCCTTTCTCAGTAAATCATAAAGTGGCTTAGCTACAATTGAAAAATCTTGTATGAACCTACGAAAGTATGAACAGAGTCCTAAAAAGCTTTGCACTTCTTGTACTTTTGTTGGAATAGCAAAATTTTCCACCGCCTTTAATCCTTTTTTGTCTGCCTTTATGCCATCGCCTGTTATCGAATACCCTAAGTAAGAAATTTCCGACTGAAAAAATTCACATTTATCTAACCTAAGCTCTAACTTATTTTGTACTAAACATCGGAAAACTTTCTGTAATATACGCATGTGTTCTTCGAAAGTTTGTGTTGCTATCATAATGTCATCGAGGTATATTATGACTTCGCCACTACGTATCATCTCCGCAAAGACTTTGTTTATGAACTTTTGAAAAGTCGCAGGAGCGTTTCTTAATCCAAAAGGCATTCTTAAGAACTCAAACTGTCCTAAAGGTGTCGTAAAAGAAGTATATTTTACTGACTTTTCTTCGACGAAAACATGGAAAAATCCATTCTTAAGATCTAACTTTGTAAACCATCTCTTATTTAGTAGCCTGTCTAACAAGTCGTCTATCAAGGGTATAGGGTAATTGTCTTTAGCCGTAACTTTGTTCAATTTTCTATAATCGACGCACATTCGTAAGTCGCCTGTCTTCTTTTTCACCAACACTATCGGTGAGACAAAATCTGAGTCACTAGGACGTATGTACCCTTTCGCTAGATATTCATCTAGTATCCTTTGTAGTTCTGTTTTTTCGCTGTACGACAATCTTCTAGGTGTGCAACCAAACGGTTTCGCATTTTCTAAAACTAGCCGTATTTCCTTTTTGACTCTGGGCTCATCTGGCCTTTTTACATTTATGTATTCTCTGCAAAACATCTCCTGGAAAAATTTTCTGTTTTTATAAATAACCCCACTTCTAACTGCACACTCTACTCCACTCATATCTTGTATATCGATTGCTAATAACTCACCAATGGTCTTACTAATGTCACTATTTTTCTCAGCTTTATCTTCGTTCACCTCTTTGACCTTGCTCGTAATCCCACCTATATTTTCCTTTGTTGCATCTGAATCACCAATGTCCTCAACTTCGCACTTTCTCAACTTTGTTCTTATTCTCGACTTCGTTCACAACGTTTTCTTCTTCACCTTGCACCACCCTATCCATAAACTCTACATTTCCAATTTTCAACTTTGCCTCGCTTGCCTCAATAAAATCTCTACCTAGCAATACCGAGTAACCAACACACCCATTAGGAACCACTAAAATTTCAATTAACACATCTTTATTCAGGACTTTGATACTACACTTCATTTTTCCGATAATTTTCAAAATTGACTTATTTAATCCATAGTACGTTTCTTTTACTTCCTCTAGCTTCACCCCTGACGGCACCACATTTTGTTTCATTAAGCTAATCGGGCTGCCCGGGTCAACTAAGCATTCTACAAACATATAAGTATTAACGTGTGACAACATATATATTCTAAAATAACTTACAAATGAATTTTTCTCCTTTTTATATTGGTTACAGTTTGTTGCGAAGTGTCCTTGCTGTCCGCAGGCATATCACGACCCAGCTTCTCGTTTCGCCTTCCTGCAGTCTTTGGCGTAGTGGCCTGAACAGTTACAGTTATAGCACCTGAGACGTTCATCGGCGCGTTGCTTTGCTGCTGGTCGTTCCGGCAATGTAATTGAGCGGAATGCTCTCATGACATCGTTTGGTGACGTAAAATTGTGCAATCTTGCTTGGTTGCGGAGTTGCTTGTCAGGGATTCCTTCGACAAGGTAATCCGCGAATTCTTCGTCACTAAGATTTAAATCTGCTCGTAGGGCGAACTTGCCATTGTAGTAGTTTGAAAAACTTTCCTCCGGCACCCACACACGGTTTTCAAACCTACGACGGCGTTCGAGCTTTCTTTCGCCGGATGTGAACACCGTCTTCATTTCGTTCATTAACTGGTCTACATTGTTGGCGAACGTTGGCTTAGCATTGTACCACGTAAGAGCTGCACCCTTCAACTTTAGGTGTATGGCCACACACATCATCGCATCGTCGACTTTGAATATGCCGCGGTAGTGCATCACTTGATTATACCATGTGGTAAGTCCATCGCCGCCATCGTACATTGGTATTATTTCCTTTATTGTTTCGAACGCAACTTTGTCGCTTACTTCGTGTGTTCCCGCCATTTGTTTGTTTTCGAGCAGAGCCTTTTGAAGTTTAAGGACCTCAATCTCTTTTTGCAATAACTCCACTTTAAGGGCTGCTGCCTCGGCATTGTCGTTGTTGCGGATAACGGGTAAATGTTCTGCTGTTACACTACTCACGCTATCGCTATCTTCGGTGTGCCTTGCTGGACGCCGCCCAAAGGTACCGCTACGTACGCAAGCTACGTCGCTTCGAACGCACACTCCATCGTTGTCGTGGTCGCTTCTTATAATTCTTCCGTTGCCCGCCCCGTTGTCCGTGCCGTTGTTCGCACCGTTATCCATGCCGTTGTTCGCACTGTTGTCCATGCCGTTGTTCGCACCGTTGTTCGCACCGTTGTTTATGTCGTTGTTCACGCCATCGTTGATCACACCATCGTTGTTCACGCCATCGTTGTTTTCACCATCGTTTGCACTACTGTCCTCGCCACTCTTTTCAAAATTATCTGCTGCTGCTGAACCTTGCCTTTTTGAATTTTCAGCTACATTTTCTCCAGGGCACAGTCCACGTGCCTCCGCTGATAGGTCGCTGAGTCTTGCAGCTAAAGTGGCCTTTGCGCCACTCGCGTTTAGCCCAACGGCCGTGCACCAGGCCTTCAGCTGCAACAGCGAATATCGCTCAGCACTTATGTTCTCACTTTCCATTACTTTATTTAAAATTGGCTGTACTTTTAATAGGAATGGTTTCGCGGACCACTTCTGATGTAATATATCAGGTCTTAGTGGTATCGAATTAAAACACGTCATTTTCGTAGCTACGCACAAAATCTAATGTCTTCTTTTATTTTTGCAAGATGGAGTTAATCCCCCACGCTAAAGTATACATATGACATCTTTTACTGAACATACTCCTTAGTGTGTAGACAGAGTGTATCTATTACGAGAAATCCTTATGACCTCAACAGACTCTGGCCCTCTCTTACATACTAGTTACATATACGTTTAGAGCTGTTTACATTGTTGCTTACAGCTAACATGACTTAATGCTAACAATAAACATGCTCGCTTAGGTACTATTTACATTTACCTATGTAGAAATGCTTACAGTATTATTTTGAGTTGTGACTCTTTTGAAGACGGTGTGCGATATGGAGAAATATACAAATAGTAAAGATGCAATTGGTATAATGTATATAAAATAATCTTTTAAAAATTATTATATGAGCCCAGTGGCGTAGACAGGGGGGGATATGGGGGGGCTCTATCTTCATTGAACTACAATTATTTACTTTTGAATTAATAACACAATACTATTTTATCCTTCTGATTAAACATTTTTTTTATTTCAGACGGATGACAAATTATCTTTTAATGAATATATGAGTAGTCCACTTGCAAACAGCGCTGTGATTGTATAAAAGTAAACCATAAATTTAAAAAAAAAAACGTCTACGACAACAAGTAACATCCGAACTGTATCTTTTTTTATTACCTGAAAATTTGGATAAATAAGAGCCTAATACCATTAAAAAATAAAAGTTGCAGCATGGTAGATTTGCAAATTTTATATTTAAAAATGTAATATTGCAAGTTTTGAAACAGTAACTTTTACATAGCTAGCTTTTTTAGCTTTTCGCGTTCTCTCCTCTAGGAAGATTGGTTTGCTTCTTTTTTGCGACCTCTTCCACTAGGCACCGAAACTACCACGTTTTCTTGCAGTTTTCTAAGTTCATACGAAGAGGAGACATTTGAAAGTGTGTAAATAAGTATTATAGCGACTTTTGCAAGAGTAGTTAACATTTCATGCTATTTTTTTCAGAATATAGAAAAATTTGAGAAAATGTGTGTTAAGCAACGAAGATTAAAAATCGCTTTATAAGTAATAAGATTTTGTAGACTTGTACATAAATAAATGTAAATAGATACGCGTAAATATATAAATATGTGGTGACTGAGATTTTTTAATGTAAACTTTATTAGAAATGTTAAATATAGCTATTAAAAATTTATAATAATTTCAATTATCAATTCATCGGAATATTTTTTTATGTATGTTACCGCATAATTTTGGACCACATTCACCGATTTCGATAATTCTTTTTCTGGTGCCTCAGGGGAGGCCGTGGATCGTGAAGAAATTAACGGTGCTTCTAAATTTGTATAAGAGAATTGAAGTCGGCTGTGTTTATTGCTTAAAAATTACTTGTTATTGTAACAATTGAGTTGTACCGAGCCCTACAAAGAATTTATATTGCATAAAGTTTATTATGAACTTATTGAAGAGTTAAAATACAAATTTGTTAGTTAACTTAATTGCATGCAAATTTTTAATGCGACTTCGTCTTACGGTTGCCAGACGTACTGATTTTATCAGTACAGTACTGATTTTTCATCTCTCGTACTAATTTTATTCATTTCTTCAATCAATACGCTAATGTCCTGATTTTTTTCAAAATTTGTACTGATTTGTACTGAATTTTAGATTCTGAGCATACAAATTTGTACTCGGTAACTTGGTGTTCGGTAATTTTTCCTCATGTATTTTGTTTGTGAAATATTATTTCATACAAACAAAATACTTTCGGATTTTTTAAGGCTTTTACATAACGTTGGAACTTGCCTAAACTGTACTGTAAAAAGTAAGAAAAAAATAATTTAATTATGGTATAATATAATTATCTTACTAATATTATAAATGTGAAAGTTTGTATGTTTGGATGTTTGGGAAATCATCACGCGGAAACGACTGAACGGATTTGCATGAAATTTTGTACGGAGATATGGGCCAGATTGGTTAATATGCTGTTCCTTTTTAAGAGTTTCCACCTGTTAAAAAAGTTCAATTTATTTAATATGCGGGAAAGACTGAACGGAATTGCATGAACATTTGCACACAGTTTATGACCTAGATTGGAAAATAGGCTAAGTTTCTTAAGAGTCGCCACCTGTTAAAAAAGTTTAATTAAAGTAATACGCGGAAACGACTCAACGGATTTGCATGAAATTTTGCACACGGATAGTTTATAACCTAGGTTGGAAACTAGGCTACTTTTTTAAGAGTTGCCAACTGTTAGAAATGTTTAATTTAAATAATACGCGGAAATTGGTGAACTGATTTGCATGAAAGTTTTCACACAGATAGCTTATGAGCTAGGTTGGATAATAGGCTAATTTTTTAAGTTGCCACCTGCTAACAAAGTTTAATTATATTAATGCGCGGAAACGTCTTAACGGATTTGCATGAAATTTTGCAAGCAGATAGCTTATGACCTACAGTAAAAAATAGGCTAATTCTTTGGAAGAGTTGCCACCTGTTAAAAAAGTTTAATTAAATTAATACGCGGAAATGACTGAACAGATTTGCATGAAATTTCGCACAGAGATATCTTATGACCAATGCTGGAAAACAGGCTACTATTTTAAGTGTTGCCACCTATTAGAAAAGTTTAATTAAATTAATACGCGGAAATGACTGAACTGATTTGCATAAAAGTTTGCACACAGATAGCTTATGACCTAGATTGGAAAATAGGCTACTCTTTTAAGAATTGTCACCTGTTTGAAAATTAAATTTTGCTCACAAATGGTTTATGACGTGGATTGAAAAATAGGCTACATCCTTAACCGGCTTCCCGATCAGAACGAAATTTGGTGCACTTACTACGGATTTCGCAAGGATGGTCTTAGACTGAAAGTAATTCCGATAACTCAGGCCCCTCCCATACAAATTGGAATTTTCATATTACCTACATATCTCTGGAAGTATTTGCGGGAGAGAACTGGAACTTGGTATAGAGGTATCGATTGATCGATTGATTTTTAAATCAATTAGTTAATTCGATTAAATTCAATCTGATTACAGTTAATCATGATTAATTCCAATCTGACTAAACAGTTAATCGTAACCGCGATTAAAAAATTAATTTTCAAACATTAACTCTTAATTTGATCAAGTAGGTTTGGTGATTAATTAATTTATGCTGGAATTTTCCTGTGCAAACAAAGCAAGTTAATCCGGTATGGCTAAGTCGGGTTTCCTCTTCAATCCGAACAATTTGGTGTGAATTTTCATTGAGATCTATACCAACAAACGTTTTACAAAACAGGTTTGTAAAAGTTCCCAGTTTATGTATTACTGAAAAAATAATTATATTTTTTTTATATTATGTGCTTTTTATACGCGTGAAACACAAAAGAATTACTATAACTGGTGTTTGGTTTCAAATTCGGACAAACTAGACAACTTAATCAGATTTTATTTTTAATTGGATTAACGATTAATGATCAAAATTAATTAATCGTAATCGCAGCCAGCGACAGTTGATTACGACTAATTAATCGTCAAACGCGATTAACATTTTGATCGTTAAATGCTAATCGTTAATCATATTAACATTTTTCCAACACTGTGTGAAATCATATTCATACTCACGGAGAAAAATGGACGTTTTTGGAAAAAAGGCGTAGCACCTCCCATACTGACTGAAAGTTTCATATTGCATATCTCTTCAAATGTTTGGGGTAAAGTACTCAAGCTTGGCATGGAAATACATACATATGTATATATGTATGTGAAACTAATACCATACTCATGGAGAAAAATGAGAGTTACTGGAAAAGGTGATGTGGCAACTCCCATGCAAATTGATTTTTCTATGCTGCATATCTCTGGAGGTTTTTATTGCGGAACTTGGCACCGAGATGTGTATACAAAATTAATTCCATACTCATGGTGAAAAATTTGCGTTATTCGAAAAGGGTGCATGGTACCTCCCGTACAAATTTACTTTTTATACTGCATATCTCTAGAGGTGTTCATGGTAGAGTACTGGGACTTGGTACTAAGGTATGTAAAATCAATTCTAAATTCATGGAAGAAGATTAGGGTTATAAGAAAAGGGGGCGTGGCACTTCCTGTACAAATTGACTTTTTCTTGCTACATATCCCGCGGAAATGTGGAAGAACATTGGAACTTGGTATGGAGTTGTGTATACAAACTGTGTCAACTGCTCTTGGAAAACATGTGAGTTATTAAAAAAGGAGGCATGTCGCCTCCCACACCTATTAAAAATTTCTTAATAGATATCTATTCGGCCTTATAATCTAAAGCTCTCATGATGCATACCTACCTCTTCAGGCATTTGCTACAGTAATGAGAAGTGGTATTTTATCAAGGCCAGGTTACTAAATTTGAGTTAGAAATATTAGAACCCGCCGTGGCATCTCCAAGAAGGTTACACGTTCACGCGTCGTATCCCTGGAACCATTTTAAGGTAAACTTAGAGGGATTGATATCTTTCGTATGCTTAGCGCGCAGACGAAATTTTATAATTTTCTAGTTTTAAATGGCCTAAATACCTTAACACCTATAATAAAATGGGCACAGAAATAAAATATAACATCATAAAATTATTTTTCATATTTGTATAAAAACGTGGGGTGAACCCCGCGGGTATAAGCTAGTCTACTATATATTTGTGAAAGTATGTATGTATGTATGTATGTATGTATGTATGTATGTATGTATGTATGTATGTATGTATGTATGTATGTATGTGCCAGGTTGCAGTCTAAACGGACGGACAGAATTGAACAAAATTTTGACAGAGTATTGCCATTACATCTGGGCCTATAATAGGGTGAAAAAAATGTGGATCCGACAAGGGGGCGTGGCACCTCCCATAGGCGTGAAATTTTTAATAAGCCATAACTTCCAGACCATAAGTCACATGAACTTGAAACTTGGTATGCAGACATGTCAATGGTAGATGCTTATAGGCGGGTATATATAAACATGTTTGTTGAAGGGGCGTGGCACATCCCATAGGCGTGGAGATTTTTATCAGCTATATCTCCGGAACCATTGGTCACACCAACCTGAAATTTGGTATGCAAACATGTCAATGGTAGGTGCTTATACGAGGGTATATATAAAAGAGTTTGTAGAAGGGGGGCGTGGCACATTCCTTAGGCGTGG